TAACAAAGGTACTCGGGAACATGAATGAAGCTGAAGGTCTGTATGATTGTAAGGGGGGAGGGGTGGGGGGGGTCATTGGTATGAGGATACAGCTTGCCACGCATGATACGGGGGTTCTACGTTGTTACTAGCCAGTATATGGACTATGTCCTCTGACAGACCAATGAAACGTTCACACTTGTCTTCTGCAGGAAGATTTAAGATGATTCCACTTTTCTTTTGTAGAGAAGTCCTTGCGCTAAGAACTGCTCATCGTAAGAACGATAGTATTCCCGCAGGGTGAGAATTGCCGGAACGTCTGTATAATGTTCCGGAGCTCGGTCTATTGCACCTTCTAAGCAGCGGTTCAGCAAATGTCCCGGTTGACCTGCTACGACCGCTCGGACTTCCTGTTCTGGTCATGTGATGTCGCCCATCTTTCATCCTCTTCAGAAGCTGGGAGAAGGATATGAATTGGGATGTAGTTATTGCCTATAGGGCTCCTTTGGGCACATAAGCTTTAAAGGAGAACTATGGGGTCAGGGCTTTTCCCAAGAGTTCTCCTTAGGGTAACGGGAAGACACACACTAGCGTCCTCCCGTCACCCTAAGCTCAGTATACCGCGAGCTACAGCTCCCTATATACTGAGACGCCGCAGCTGAAACAGATCCCGACAATTCTGTCTGGATCCGCCCAGCTGCGTGAGTGACAGCTGGCTCTGCCTATCTAGAGGCAGAGCCAGCTGTACCCGCCCCCTCCCCCGTCCGTTCCGCCAGTCAGCGCTGGAGGAGAGGGGAATCCAGCCCCTCCCCCTGTCACGGCAGAGAGCCGTGACAGGATCGATAAGTGAGCGAACTCCGGTATGTGTTCGCTCACCTCCCGATCTACTGAGCCGACCTGTGACAGTCTCATTGTCACAGGTCGGCTAGAACTATGAGGTGAGTGAAAAGCCCCCCCACCCCCTCATAGTTCTCCTTTTAAAGGGTACTTCCACCTTCCCAGTTGAAGTTGGGAAAATTGAATTATTCCCCCCGCCCCATCCTCTGTAGTTACCTTTGGCCAAACGCTCCTTCCCCCTCCGCCATTGTACCATTCTTACTCCGTGCATGACAGCGCAGCCCTGCACTCTGTATTTTGAATGATGCTGACAAATGGCAGACACTCATTGGTCAGCGCAGTCACCTGACCGTGCATACCAATGAGAAGCGCTTCTTGCTAAGAAGGTGACCGCGCTGACCAATGAGTGCTCGCCATTTTGCAAGCGAAATTCGAAATGCAGAGTGCGGGGTTGCACTGCCATGTGCGGATCGTGCACCAGCAATGGGGAAGCAGCTTTTCGGCCGAAGGCAACTATAGTAGGGGGAGGGGCTAGTTGGAGGAGGCAATTCCAATTTCCTCAAGTTCGCCTGGGAAAGTGGACTTACCCTTTTAAATCCATGTGAAACCGCATTCTAACTGATGGATCATTGCATATTTATAATTTATGAAGAAAACACGTAGGTGAGAGCAGCGCTGTTGCCCACCATGGCACAAATCTCAACATTAGTGTTGCGTGCGGATTCACATATTTAAACGTACGAATATGAATTGGGTCCGGGGTCGTCTTAGACTACAAAACTACACGGCAACCACAGAATACACGAGAACGCAGGACATGCGAGCGATGTGTAAATTGGGTCTTAGACTACAGAACACAGCAACCCCAGAATGCATTAGAACATGAGGAATGTGTACATTGGGTCTTAGACTACAAAGCATGGCAACCCCAGAATACAGTAGAACACGGGGAATGCGAGCGATGTGTACATTGGGTCTGGGTCTTAGACTACAAACCACAGCAAGCCCAGAATAGACTAGAACACA